TCTTTTTTTTTTCTTAACATATATTGCATTATTTGTTTCAGAGGTACAGATCTGAGATTCAACAGTCTTGCACAATTCACAGCGCTTACCAGAGCACATACCCTCCCCAGTGTCTATCACCCAGTCACCCCATCCCTCCCACCCCACCCCCACTCCAGCAACCCTCAGTTTGTTTCCTGAGATTAAGAATTCCTCATATCAGTGAGGTCATATGATACATGTCTTTCTCTCTTTGACTTATTTCGCTCAGCATAATACCCTCCAGTTCCATCCACATCGTTGCAAATGGCAAGATCTCATTCCTTTTGATGGCTGCATAATATTCCATTGTATATATATACCACATCTTCTTTATCCATTCATCTGTCGATGGACATCTTGGCTCTTTCCACAGTTTGGCTATTGTGGACATTGCTGCTATAAACATCGGGGTGCACGTACCCTTTTGGATCCCTACTTTTGTATCTTTGGGGTAAATACATTTGGGTAACTTTTATTTCTCTTCCTCCTTCTCAGTGGTCAACCAGGAAATGTCATTGATTTAAAAAGGGACTTCCTGATCTACACATTTAGAGCAATCCTTATCAAAATACCAACAACATTTTTTACAGAACTAGAACAAACAATCCCAAAATTTGTATGGAACCACAAAAGACCCCAAATAGCCAAAGCAATCTTGAAAAAGAAAAGCAAAGCTGGAGACATCACAATTCCAGACTTCAAATTATAGTGCAAAGCTATAGTAATCAAAACATTGTGGTACTGGCACAAAATAGACACATAGGTCAATGGAACAGACCAGAAAGTCCAGAAATGAACCCACAAGTATATGGTTGATTAATAATTAATATTCAACAGAGCAGGAAAGAATATCCAATGGGAGAAGGACAGTCTCTACAACAAATGGTGTTGGGAAAATTGGACAGCAACATGCAGAAGAATGAAACTAGGTCACTTTCTTACACCATACACAAAAGTAAATTCAAAATGGATGTGAGACCTAAAACCATAAAAATCCTAGAAGACAGCACAGGCAGTAATGTCTCTGACATTTGCCATAGCAAATTTTTTCTCGATATGTCTCCTGAGGCAAGGGCAATAAAGCAAAAATAATCTATCGGGACTACATCAAAATAAAAAGTGTCTGCACAGCCAAGAAAACAGTGGACAAAACTAAAATTAGGCAGCCTATGGGATGGGAGAAGATATATGTCTGATAGGGAAAAATCCCTTCTACTTACCTTTTCAGCATTTCTTTGGCTAATCTTGGACCTTTTCTTTTCTATATGCATTTAAAAACAGTTAATCATGCTCTATTAAAAAATCTCATTAGAATTTTTATCAGAATGGCATTAAATTTATTGATTCAACTAGGAAGAATTAACATATTTGTGATATTAAATCTTCCCAGTAATAAACCTGACATTAACTGTTCATTTACATACAGATTTCCAAAGAGTATTTTGAACTTTTCTTCATAAACATTGCACAGTTTTGTTAGACTTATTTTGAAGCAGTTTATAATATTTGTAGCTATTGTGAATGAAATCTTCCTTCCTATTAAATTAGAATTACTAATTGACTCTTGCAAGTTATAAGAATGTTATTGTGTTTTGTTTTGTTTTTGTCAGTACTTTATATAGTGATTTCTCTAAACTCTCTTTTTAGCACAAGTTTGTGGGTTTTCTTTGATTTCCTATGTTGACAACAGTATTGTCCACAAATATCAGCTTTTTTTTTTTGGTAACACTTTTTTTCTTATCAGATTGCATTGGTGAGGATCTCAAATACAACAATGAATGATGAGTGATATGCGTTATCCTTGCCTTATTCTAAACTTTAGTAGGAATACTTGTTATTTGTTAACTATTATGTTTGCTATGAAGTTTTGATAAATAGCATTCATTAGGATAAAAATGTCCTCTTTTAGCCCTATTTTACTTAGAGTGTTTTAAATAGTAAATGGCTGTTGTGATGGCCAATTTTATGTGTCAACTTGACTGGGCCATAGGATGCCCAGACATTTGGACAAACATTATTCTGGGTATGTCTGTGAAAGTGTTTCTGAGTAAGATTAATATTTAAATCAGTACACTGAATAAAGCAGATTGCCCTCCTCTCCAATGTGGGTAGACCTCATCCAATCAACTGAAGATCTGAATAGAACAAAACCGCTAATGTCCCCTCACTTTGACTAAAAAGGAGCTCCTCATGTCTGACTCCCTTGATATCAGTCTTTTCCTGAAACATTGACTCTTCTTGGGTCTTGAGCCCGCTGGCTTTTGATTTGGTATTTACACCGTCAGATCTTCTGGGTCTCCAGCTTATTGAATGCAGATCTTAGGATTTCTCAAATTCTGTAATCACATAAACCAATTCCCTAAAATAAATACCTCTCTCTCTCTCTCTCTCTATATATATATATGATTCTGTATATGTGTGTGTGTGTTTATGTATATGAATGTGCATCTATATCTATATCTGTCTCCTATTGGTTCTGTTTCTCTGGAGAACCCTAATACATTTATATATTATTGAATTATTTTCCCATTATTGAATTTCCCATGTTTTTGAATTTTCCCATATTATTGAATTATTGATATAATCCTGAAGTCTTTCTTCTTTAATATAGTAGTATCAACAAGCCTATTTAAATATTGTCTAATTTTGAAGCATTCCTGAATGTCTAGGACAAACTCTATTTGGTTATGATGTGTTACTCCTTTTATATATTGCTAAATTTCGCTTGTATTTATGGGAATTTTGCATCTATAATCTTCAATAATATAGGCCTATAATTTTCCTTTATCACATTGTTCTTGTATGTTTTTAATATTGTTTACTAAAAATGAATTGGGAAGATTTTACTTCCGTTCTTTTTCTTAGTTGGAGTGGGAGAGAACTTTAAGGTTTAGTAAACTTACTTATAAATCAACATGGGTCTGGCTTTTTAGTATCAATATATGTAGAGGATGGATTTTGGATCATAGGTATAGTTTCTTTAATGGTTATTGGCTTATTTATGTTTTGTATATCTTCTAGAATTAATTTTACCAATTTATATTCTTCTAGACATAGTCAATTCAATTGTAATTTTCAAACATATTGGTATAAACTTATATGTAATGTTCTGATATGTTTTGTAAAAGTTTCTACTCTTTTGGGAGCTGATTATTCCCCTTTTCAAGCATAATGTTATTTGTCAGTCTTTCAGTCATCATCTTTCTCCCTTTCTCTCTCTTTGATCAGTTTTACCAGACCTTTTCTATTTCATTAGTTTTTTATCTTTGTTTATATAATTAATTTTATTAAACTTTTCATTTGTTATTGTATTTATGTAATTTTACTAAGCTTTTCATTTAAAAATATGTTACTAATGTTTAAATTTGTCATTATAACCTTCTTTCTACATTGGGTTTACTGATTGAAGGGGATGTAATAGAAGGGGGGCTATCCCAACATGTGATTGCAAAGCATGGCTTCAAGAAGGAGAACCCTGTGCATTGTTGATGGGGATATAAATTGGTGCAGCCACTCTGGAAAACAATATGGAGGTTCCTTAAAAAATTAAAAATAGTACTGCCATATGATCCAGCAATTCCACTCCTGGGTATTCATCCAAAGAAAATGAAAACATTAATTCAAAAAGATATATGCATTCCTATGTTCATTGTAGCATTATTTACAATAGCCAAGCTAGAGAAACAACCTAAGTGTGCATCAATGGATGAATGGATAAAGAAGATGTGGTGTAGATATACAATGAAATTTTACTCACCCATAAAGAAGAATGAAATCTTGCCATTTGCAACAACATGGGTGGATCTTGAAGATATTATGCTAAGTTAAGTCAAAGACTAATACTGTATGATTTCAATAAGCAAATGAACAAACAAACAAAACAAAACTCACAGATACAGAGAACAGATTGGTGGTTGCCAGAGAGGAGTGGGGTTGGGGGTGGGCAAACTGGGTGAAGGTAGTCAAGAGGTGTACACTTCCAGTTATAAAATAAATAAGTCATGGGGATGTAATGTTAGCATGGTGACTATAGTCAATAATATTGTATCACATACCTGAAAGTTGCTAAAAGAATAAATCTTAAAAGTTCTCATTACAAGGAAAAGAATTTTTGTAACTTTGTATGGTGACAGATAGTAACTGGATTTATTGTGGTAATCATTTCTTAGAGTATACAAGTATCAAGTTATGGTATATACCTGAAATATATGTTATATGTCAATTATACCTCAATAAAAAATTAAAATTTAAAAATAGGAGCTAAAGACATGAATTAAATCTGTCCCAATTTAGGATATTAAGACATATACATGTGGACATACATATGTGCTGCTTTTGTTCCAATATCTTAAATTATCTATATTTGATATAGCACTTATTCTCAAAGTGGTTTCAGCATGAGTGTTCTTCCTGTATCATCATGTAAAATATAGTTGCCTAGTTACTGAGTAAAATGATCATGAAAACAATAGAGAACAATACCGATGAATTTTTATGTGTAGAAAAGTTTATTAGAAAGCAGAGAAGCAACAAAACATAAGAAATTCACTCTTTTAGAAACTACATAACTGGACCCCCAGGTCTAAGGGTATGACTGAATCCCAGGTCAAAGGGTATCAAATCAGTACTGCACAGGGGTTACAGATAATATTCACTTTGTTAGGAAGGATAATCTAGAGCCCCTAAGTGATAAGGAAGAAAGAGAAATTTAGAGGACTGGGCTAATTTTTTAGCTGATGGATTACAGATTAATATCCATATTTGGCACCAATATTGAAAGGAAAAGATAATAATGGAAGGAGCTTAACATGAACCAGAATGTGCTCACAGAGATAGTGGGATGGGTTCTTTGGAATCATGAGGCTCAACCTGTTGAATGAGGTCAACCAGCCTTCATATGTCCTAATGCTCAGCACGAAAGGAGGGTCTACACCTGTAGGGCAGAGGTAAACAGAGATGGTAGTCACACGGCAGGGGGCTCAGCAGCAAGAGGAGGCACAGCACATGGGATGAGGGCAGGTGGAGATGACACAGGTGGGGCGATAACAAGTGGTGTGGCAGGAGACCTGACCACAGACTGGGCGCAGGCAGCAGGAGGGGCGGCAGCAGCTGGAGCCACAGCAGCTGGAACCACAGCAGGAGGGGCGGCAGCAGCTAGAGATGCAGCAGGAGGGGTGGCAGCAGCTGGAGCCACAGCAGCTGGAACCACAGCAGGAGGGGCGGTAGCAGCTAGAAATGCAGCAGGAGGGGCGGCAGCAGCTGGAGCCATAGGAGTTGGAGCCACAGCAGGAGGGGCGGCAGCAACTGGACACACAGCAGCTGGGGCGGCAGCAGGTGGTCCTGCAGCAGGTGGTCTGGCAGCAGGTGGGGCGGCAGCAGCTAGAGATGCAGCAGCTGGGCCTGCAGCAGCTGGAGCCACAGCAGGTGGGGCCACAGCAGGCGGGGCGGCAGCAGCTAGAAATGCAGCAGGAGGGGCGGCAGCAGCTGGAGCCACAGCAGGAGGGGCGGCAGCAGGTAGTCCTGCAGCAGGTGGGGTGGCAGCAACTAGAGATGCAGCAGCTGGAGCCACAGCAGCTGGGACCACAGCAGGAGGGGCGGCAGCAGCTGGACACGCAGCAGCTGGGGCGGCAGCAGGTGGTCCTGCAGCAGGTGGTGTGGCAGCAGCTGGGGTGGCAGCAGGTCTCCTGGCCACAGCCCTGGTCAGAGCAGACGGAGCCACAACAGGAGTTGACCATGGTGTCAGAGGGTGGAGGTTCTGGGTGGGTTTCCAGAAGAATGAGGTTCTCAAGTGTGATCTCTCCCTGCCCTCTGTCACTTTTGTACCCTGCTGAGAGCTACTATGACCATGTGCAGGACCCTTCTTGTTGTTTATCCTAATAGAAAATCAGTTAGTTTTAGTAAATTAGATAATTATGTTTATCTGGTAAATATACCTATATATAGAAAAGGCTCCATTTCCTTCTCCTGTTGTACTGTGAGCTGTCTCATTTGGTTAAAACCAATTGAATCAGCTCCCATTATTTCTTCCGTTGTCTGATATGTCTTCCAAAGTAGTCCCATCCCCTGGCATTGTTTCATTGGATTTCACAAGTATTAAATCTTCATTTATGTATTTAACTCCAGGATAGTATGTTGAGAATGGATTTTATGATGACTAAATCTGCTGTCAAGAGGTTAACAACAAGTCATATGAGAATGCTGGTAGGAAAATAGGATGAAAGAGCCATCTTGGTGGCGGGGGGGCGGGGGGGGGCGGGGTGTCCCTTGTGTGCAGTGGAGAATACTGTGATTCCTTTGGATTTTATGGATGGCCAGTGAGGTATGAAGGATCCTAACAAAGTTCCTATCTGTTTTGTCTTATTGAATCTATTCAATTTGAAAGTTATAATGCAATGATTCACTACTATTAAATAGTAAAAAACCCATTGGCATGAATAGGCCCTTTTAAAAATTATTATGGACATGTTCTTCAGAGATAGGGTATCATAAAGGAGTATTTTTTCTCCTATTTTAGTGGATGAACATACCCAATAGAATATGTATATTGAATATTTTCTTATATTCTGAGCTTTTGTCTCTCAAAAACTTATGTTTGAGGTATTTTGCTTGTTATAAATCATATCTAAGGGGTTAAGCTTTAATCTGTGTCCTGTAGGCACTTGAATAAGACAAACAAGATACATATGTAGGGGTTTGGCAAGCATGTAGAACATTGTTGATAAATAACAATTATGTATTTAAATCTGTACACTTATGAAATATGAGATAATACTAACACTATTTTTGAGTGCCTATTGTATGTCAGGAATTTTGAGTCATCTTTGTTACCTTGTTTATACTTCACAAGGGCTCTAAGAGGTGGTCACAACTTTTCTTAATTCTTCAGACATGAGGTAATTGAGGCTCAGATAGATTGAAGTCATATAGTCAATAGGGTTCTTTCTTAGAAGTTTCAAACAGGTGTGAGGAGTAATCCATGTCCTTTCTCATACTGTTTCATTTGTGTAAGTGTGCTTTCTCCCTTGTCAGTTCAGCAAACTCTTGCTCATACATAAATGTCTAGTCTGGATACCAACTCATCTCTAATGTCTTTCTTGACATCTACCACATTCAAAACGAATCCTTCTTTCCCTTTTGCTCCAAGATACCTGTGCTATAGGGTATCACACTCTATCATAATTGGTTCATATCCCCCCCAATCCTTCTATATACCCCATGAGGTCAGAGATTGGCTTATTCATATAAGCCAATATAGGTATATTTACCATATAAACATGGTGCCTAGTAATCTGAATGAATGTTAGTTGAGTGAATGTGGAATTTATGGAAAACATAGGGCATTTACTCACCCTTTATCATACTATAGATAATCTAGATGGATGGAGAAAAGAAAAACATTCAGACAGTGGGGATATTATTGAATGGGGGTTTATTTTTGGCCTCTGATGGAGTAAATGACTTGTCCGGTTGGTATTTGTAGGATGGTAAAGAAAAATAATAATCCACTGCTAAAATGAGAATGTAAAGATATTCTTGAATTTATGCAAAGAAAGTGGATATTGTATCATCACACAGTTGGGAGAAAGGTGTGAGAGAACATCTAGGCTTTTAAAATATTATTTGCCTGGGGGTGGGTGGAGTGACAGGAAGCAGGAAGAAAGTTTAGGTGGTGGTTGCAGGCTAGGGATGAGAGATGAATGCCTGTCTAGATTGGTGGCAATGGGAGCAGTAAGGAGGATAGTGATGCAATCGCACTTCAAAGAGAGTCAACCAGGATCACTTACAAAATGGGCAGTAGAGTTGGCAGGAGAACTCACTTAAAGAGGACGCATAATTTAATATTTTTTTCAATTGTATACACATACATTTTGCAATTAAATTCTGATAGTGAAAAGATAATAATTTGTAATAAAGAAAATATATTTTAAAATCTCACCAGAAACAAAGTAAAAAGACAAATGACTGAATGAAAAAAAAAATACTTGCAATTTATACCAAAGACAAAGAGCCAATGACCTTAATATATAAAGCATTTCTAAAATTAGACTGGAGAAGAGGAAAAACCTGATGGAAAAATAAAATGAAGATCTCTCTTCATCATATAGAGATGCCCAGTCTCACACATAGGAATGGAAATGAAATTATACAGGATACCACTTCTCACCTGTGGGACTGTCAAAAACTCAAAATTTGACAACATTGTCTAATAGATTATGTGGAAGTAGGCATGCTTATACCTTTCTTAAAAAGATTTGACAATAATTAGTGGCATTATTCTTTGACTCAGCTATCCCAATTCTATAAATTATCCAGGGTACTCAGGCAAAACTATAAAAAGATGTTATGCAAGATTATTCATGGCACTGCTATTTGTAAAAACAAAACAAGAGCTAGACACAACCTGGGTGTCCTTCAGTAGTGTAGGAGTGAATAAGCCCTGGTGCATCGCCATGATAGAGTACTATTCAGCTGTAAAAAGGAATAAGGAGTATCTTTATATGCTACTATGAAGTAATCTCCAGGATATATTGTTAAGAGATGATAAAGCAGATGGAGCAAAGTGTCTATAGTGTTCTACAATGTGTCTAAACAAATAAAGGAGGGATGTGGGTGGAGGATGGGCTAGATGGGTGAAGGGATTAAGGAAGGCACTTGTTGGGATGAGCACTGGATGTTATATGTAAGTGATGAATCACTGAATTCTACTCCTGAAACCAATATTACACTATATGTTAACTAGAATTTAAATGAAAATTTGGGGGAAAAAAAGTGCTGATGGGTAGAAAAAAATAAGGGAACACATACAGAAAATCTATTTGCTTATATTACATGAATTTTTTTAAATAATTGAAGAACAGAGGGGGAAAAAAAGGGACTTATATTTCCTGCTGAGGAGTTGAGGGACTGGATTTACCCTTCTGCCTGAAGCAGCTAAAAAACTAGACAAAATAAATGAAACAGTGGTTTTTAGACATTGGCTGTTGGGTCAGAACACTGGTACCTTAGGGGAAACAAATGAGGTGATCCCTAGAATTGCCTCAGTTTATTTCTTGAAGAGAGTTTCTGGAGGGTGCAGCTCTGGGAGAGAGAACCAGGTAGAGCCTGGTAATCCTCCTGACTTGAGGAGACAGAGTTGGGATGAAGGAGGCCAAGTCAGCAGCAATTCACAGGATAGAGTACCAGAGAAAAGAGAGTTGCACAGAGAACCTCAGAGATCTGCAGAGGGTCCACCTCCATCTTCAGCTGAGTACTTATGAGTGCATGTGCATGAAGAAACTAGCCAAGGGCAGAAAAAGAGCTGCACTGCCCCACCCTACCTCCATAAAAGACAAGGGAAACAATTCTTGGAGCTGACACAGGCCAGAAACAGCACATGCTCCCATGAGCCAGAGTGAATACAGAGTGAATTCAGGGGTCATTGGTTAGAGTATTTAGAATAATATTGCCTCAGGAATGGGGCAATTTTTTCCCTACAGTAAAGGGTGCTCTGATCCCATCTCACACCGTTTATAAGTAAGTTTTGAAAGGATCAAACTGTTAAATCAACTTAATTGCATCCCAGAGCAATCAATTAATTGGATTCCATCAAAAAAATTTTTACTTTTCAAAAGATGCTATTTAGACAGTAACCTCTTTGATATCGACTGTAGCAACTTTTTTTCTAGATTTGTCTCCTGAGACAGAGGAAACAAAAGCAAAAATGAACTATTGATACTACATCAAAATAAAAAGCTTGTGCACAGTGAAGGAAATGATCAGTAAAACTAAAAAGCAACCAACTGAATGGGAGACGATATTTGCAAATGATGTGTCTAATAAAGAATTAGTATCCAGAATATATGAAGAACTTACAAAACTCAACACCCAAAAAGCGAATAAGCCAATTATAAAATGGTCAGAGGACATGAACAGACATTTCTCCAAAGATGACCTACAGATGCTCATCATTATTTGCCATCAGGGAAATGCAAATCAAAATTGTAATGAGATAGCACCTCACACTTGTCAGCATGGCTACAATCAACAACAGAAGAAAGAACAGGTGTTGGTGAGGCAGTGGAGAAAGGGGAAGCCTCCCATGCTATTGGTAGGAATGCAAACATGGGGGGGGTGCATCCACTGTGGAAAATGGTATGGAGTTTCCTCAAAAAGCTAAGTAGGGGCGCCTGCGTGGCTCAGTCATTAAGCGTCTTCCTTCAGCTCAGGTCATGATCCCAGGGTCCTGGGATCTAGCCCCACTTCAGGCTCCCTGCTTGGCAGGAAGCCTGCTTCTCCCTCTCCCACTCCCCCTGCTTGTGTTCCCTCTCTCACTGTGTCTCTATCAAATAAATAAAAATTCTAAAAAAAAAAAAGCTAAAAGAACTACCATATGATCAAGTAATCACACTGCTGGGTCTTCCCTTCCCTCCCCCAAATACCAAAACACAAATTCGAAGGGATACATGCATCCCTGTGTTTATAGCAGCATGATTTACAACAGCCCATGTACGGAAGCCCAAGTGTCCGAGTGTCCACCAACAGATGAATGGATAAAGAAAATGGGGTCTCTATCGCCAATGGAAAAGTATTCAGCCACAGAAGACAATGAAATCTTGCCATTGGCAATGACATGAATGGAGCTAGAGAGTATAATGCTAAGTGAAATCAGTCAGAGAAAGACAAATACCATATGATTTCACTCATGTGGAATTTAAGAAGCAAAACAAATGAGCAAAGGGGAAAAAAAGAGAAACCA